AAGACTGTTTGAAATTCAAGACTTGGTTGGAAAAGAAGAAGAGTTATCCAGGTATTCCCTTGGCCTCAGTTTGTTTTGAGTCTTCTTTTGTAGATGTGCCTTTGAATTCTTGGTGATTAGACTCAGGAGCTAGTATTCATATTGTGAATTCCTTGCAGGGATTCATAAGCAAACGGTGGCCAAGTGAGAATGAAGTAAGCTTGAGCGTTGCAAATTGATTCCAAGTGAAGGTTGAATTCATAGGAGTAGTGAAGTTAACTTTAGACTCTGGTTTTTATCTTGTTTTGGAAAATACAGTTTATGTACCGCAGATGAGACGGAATTTAATTTCTATACCAAAACTTGATGCTTGTGGTTTTAAATTTGATTTTGGTAATGGAATGGTTAAGTTATTTAATGATTCTCGTTTGATTGGAAATGGCATTTTATGTGATGGTTTATGTAAATTATCTTTGACTTCTTTTGGTGATGTCTCGTGTGTTACAAATGTATCAAAGAAAAGGGCTTTAATTCGTAAATCATCCTCTATATTGTGGCATAAGTGATTGGGTCATATTTCTAAGGATAGAATGGAAAGATTAGTAAAAGATGAGATACTTCTTTCCTTAGACTTCTCCGATTTTGACACCTGTGTAGATTGTATAAGAGGAAAGTTAACTAAGTTTACGAGGAAGGGTTCGACTAGGGGACTTAATTCACACTGATATCAGTGGACCTTTGCTTTCCACTATATATGGGAATAAATATTTCATAACTTTCATTGATGATTTCTCACGATATGGATATTTTTATTTGATTAACGACAAATCACATGCACTTGAGAAATTCAAAGTTTTCAAACTAGAAGTAGAGAAACAATGTGGGAAAAGTATCAAAGTTGTAAGATCTGACCGAGGTGGTGAGTACTATGGGAAATATGACGAGTCTGATCAAAATATGGGTGATTTTGCAAAATTTTTACAAGAGTGTGGAATAGTGCCCCAATACACCATGCCAGGAACACCTGAGCAAAATGGTGTTTCTGAAAGACGTAATCGAACTTTAAAAGATATGGTTAGAAGTATGATGAGTAGAACAAATTTGCCTGAATATTTGTGGGTGAAGCCTTGAAAACAGCTATGTATATTTTGAATAGAGTTCCAAGTAAAGCTGTTGCAAAGAAACATTTTGAATTATGGACAGAACGTAAGTCAAGTATGGCTCACTTTAAAGTTTGGAGATGTCCACCTGAGGTTAGGATTTATAATCCATTTGAAAAGAAATTAGACCCTAAATTAACTCCTGGATACTTTATTGGGTATCCAAATAGATCAAAAGGATATAAATTTTACTGTCCAAATCGCGGCACTAGAATTGTGGAGTCCATTACTGCTAAGTTTCTGAACAACGATTTTGAAGATAGTGGGAGTTTCACGTTGAGAGAAATTCTTGTTGAACCTAATCAAGTTGTAGTTCTAACTCCTGTCATACAGGAAAGAGTTGGTTTTCAACCAATTGAAGTTGTTAATGAAGAACCGAGGAATCAGGAGGAATCTCCAATTCCTCAAACAACGATTGAATCGGTTCCTGAGCCAAAAGTTAGGAGATCACAAAGGGAAAGAAGATCTGCATTGCCCAGTGATTATATTGCATATTTATTGGAGATAGATTTTTATATTGGGCATATTGTTGATCCTGTAACTTATAACCAAGCATTGACAAGTCGTGATGCACATAATTAGATAGCTACCATGGAAGATGAAATGAATTCCATGGAAAAGAATAAAGTTTGGGATTTTGTTGAACTTCCTCCAGATGCTAAGGCTGTAGATAACAAGTGGATTTTCAAAAGTAAATTAGATTCAAAAGGAAATGTTGAACGAAATAAAGCAATATTAGTTGCAAAAGGTTTTACTCAACGAGAGAGCATTGATTATGTTGAAACCTTCTCTCCTGTTTCATCGAAAGATTTTTTTCGAATTATCATGGCTCTTGTGGCACACTACAATTTGGAGTTTCATCAAATGGATGTTAAGACAGCATTTTTGAATGGAGATCTTTCTGAAATGGTTTATATGAAACAACCTGAAGGTTTTATTGTAAAAGGAAAAGAAAACTTGGTGTGTAAGTTAAACAAATCCTTATATGGTCTCAAACAAGCATCTCGACAGTGGTATTTGAAGTTTGATGAGGTTGTGACATCTCTTGGTTTTGTTGAAAATACTATTGATCAATGCATTTATCTTAAAATCAGTGGAAGAAATTTTATTTTCCTTGTACTATATGTTGATGACATTCTGCTTGCTAGCAGTAACTTAGGATTACTTCATAAGACAAAGAAAATGTTGTCTGCTAATTTTGAGATGAAAGATCTTGGAGAAGCTTCCTATGTACTTGGCATTGAAATACATCGTGATAGAAATCGTGGCTTATTGGGACTTTCTCAGAAAGCTTATATACGACGTGTTCTAGAAAGGTTTAATATGCAGAATTGTGCAGCTGGTGATGTACCTATCATAAAAGGAGATAAGTTTAATAAAACTCAATGTCCAAGGAATGAGCTGGAAAGGGAGTCTATGACGATGATCCCATATGCTAGTGCTGTGGGAAGCTTGATGTATGCTCAAGTTTGCACTAGATCGGATATAGCCTACGAAGTAAGTGTCCTTAGCAGATTTCAGTCTAATCCAGGACAAGAGCATTGGAAAGCAGCTAGGAAAGTTATGAGATATTTGAAGAAAACTGAAAGTTATATGCTTACATTCCAGCGTACAAATCATCTTGAGGTGGTAGGATATTCAGATTCTGATTTTGCTGAATATCAAGATGATTTGAAATCAACCTCAGGTTATATTTTTACATTAGTTGGTGGTGCCATTTCTTGGAAAAGTGTTAAACAAACTTTAGTTGCATCTTCTACTATGCAAGCTGAATTTGTGGTATGTTATGGGGCTACAGTCCAAGCCGTTTGGTTAAGAAATTTTAACACTGGCTTGAAAGTTGTTGATTCCATCTCAAGACCGATCATCATCTACTGTGATAACAGTGCAGCAGTATTCTTTTCAAAGAATAATAAAAAGTTCTGGTGGATCAAAACATATTGACATCAAATATTTGGTCGTTAGAGACAGAGTCAAAGAAGGGCAGACGAAAATAGAGCATATCAATACAGAGGCGATGGTTGCAGATCCCTTGACTAAGGGACTCACTCCAAAAGTCTTTAAGACACATGTTACTAATATGGGTATTGTGGAAACATTTGATATTTTTGGTTAGTGGGAGTTATTTATGTAAAGAACTACGTTTTGGGCTTGATCCCTTTACGGGGTACGTAGGCAACCCATATGTTTTCGGGTACAGCCCCTTCTGAAAATAAAATAATTTTTCCCCTATTCATGAACTATTTTAAGCATGCATTTGACTTATGTCTTTTTATATTATTGACATTTTGAAATATGACGTATAAAGACATAAGATTAGCCTCTTTTAGAGACATGTGGCTTCATTTTGATTCAAAGCTATGAGTTAGCACAATTTTTTACCACATTTGGTGCTAAGTTCATACCACATACTACCACATTGGTTGGAGGATGGGAATCCATGTCGATAAGGATGTTGACATTTGTAGCTGTGGAATGGTCTTACATTTCTTAAATTGGTGTAATGACTTCTATGTTCGGTGTTAATATTCTTGTTGGACCGGATCATGTTATGTAAGGTGTCATCATTGGAGCCATACTTTTGTGGCCACCTATGTAGTCTAACCCGGGTGTTAAAACTTTGTTATGGCAATCAAACGTTTGCTCAAGTGGGAGAATGTTGGAATAATTAATAATTCCATATGTTGGCTTCACATTCGATTGCAAAATTTTACGGGTTAGATATATGGCTCATAATGATAATTGTGTTTGGGCCAAATTTATTAAGTGATCAATTGAGCCTTTTACACCTTACGGGTTGTAATTTATTTGATGTGGTAATTTAAAGTATGTGGACCGAAAATAAATCCTAATTAGAATTCTAGTAGTAATGGGACGGCTCAAATTATTTCCTATATATAAAGGCTAGGTCCCCTCTCCTCTCCATATGTTTTATTGGCTTGCTCCATTGATAGCTAATACTTTGTGAGGAGCAAGGAGGGGAAGATCTTGACCGCTATTATAACTATTATTCATATCAACAATGACTTCCGCAGGTATGAATTCGATTTATCAATTTATTATTTTGTGATTCTGGATTCTTAGCATGATTGAAATTAAATATTAACACATCACACATCCAGCTTCAGTTGACTAAACACCTATAGTAGCCCCATCATTTATAACCCAACAGAAAGGCGCGAGACAGACTAAAATGCCAAGCAAGATAAAGATAACTGTTGACCTTGTGTGTAAAACCTTGCTGCTAGCATGGTATAACGACACTTCGGCTGATCACTACTTCAACTTTGGTATGTGTCCTGGAAGGGCGACTTGAAATTTTTTTTTTTTTTTTGCTGTTCATAGAGTTAAAGCCTTTCTTGAAATTCATCATAGGAACTAAGAAAATTCAAGGGTTCAGAAAATCGTGTTTGGCAACTAATAGAAGTTGATTATAACCTTAAAATCAAACTTAATTCTGAAAATCATTGACATCTTCGTTTACACAGCATGACAATAGACCATCAGCTTCATTCAACCAACAGACTTTATTTTTTTAATTCCTCTTTCGGTGCCAAATATGACACTTATTGAAAATGGAAAAAACAAACAAGAGAGTCCAACTAAAATTCTTTAATTTAAAAAAAGCAAACTGACACGATCCATCCCGAATCACCTTAGAGGATTCGATACGCATCGTACGCCGATGGTAGAAACCAGCTAAACACCGAACCCACCATCAAGGCAACTTTAACTTGCTTGACTAAAAAATATATTCAATAAAATTTTGATAGAGTTCCCCTTGAAATATGAACTAAAATCCCCTGAACAATAACCAATTTCCTCAAATTAATACATATAATATAAATCAGGGCACACAAGTTACTCAAAATACAAATTATACAAATAAATTGCCGGCAAATCAATATTTTCTTGCTTTACAACCAACAATCCTCAAATATAACCAAAGATACCAAATATGCAGTGAACCCATGATAACTTTTTCTGACATAAACTATATATAACCCAAAAGAAACATGTACTATATAATCTAATAAAGTAGATCATACAACTAATGACATGTGGCTCAATTCGGTGGATCGACAGGCCCAAAGCTGCTCAACTGAGCTGCTATCTGATAAAAAAAATGGTGAAAAGATGTATGAGCTTATAGCTCAGTGAGTGGATAATTTGCAAATAAGTATACTTTTTCTATTTATGCATATTTTCTGAAAAATCTTGCACTACTAAAGCTTCTAGGAATTCAGAAATCTGGTAACACTTTTAAAACTAAACATGATTGCAGCATAAAATTCGTTATTCTTAATTCTAGGTAAGCAACAGTAAAATATAGTGATTATAAATAATCTGATATCCATGAAAATCTATAAAATATTGCTGTTGCTCAATACTATAAGCTGAAAGTTTTATTTTGAAAACTGAATTAACTGAATTCTATAATATGAAATCTGAGAAATTGTAGAAATACTGAGAAACCATACCAAAAAGGTACTCAATGAATAGCCTTACTCATGTATAGAGTAATCTCAATGTACAAGACAAAGTCATTCAAATCTGATAGTCTGATAATCTGGTCATACGTACGCAGAGCTACCCCAAAGGCTAATCACCCTAGTACACGGCCCATAGGTGTACGAGAGTGGATCCCAAAGACCTCTGATAATCTGGTTATACGTTATGGAAACACATTCACAATAGTGCAGAGCGGGTAAAATCATCATAACTGGTCATACAATGTGGAAACACATTCACACAAATACAGACTAAGGTAAAATCACATGGGTACATTCTGGTGGTTTTTAGAAATAACTTTAACCATACTGAAACATTTATATTAATATAACATGCTAATCAAATGAGGGTAAACTCACTTGGGTACATTCTGGTAGTTTTTAGAAATAACTTTAGCTATACTGAAACATTTATATTAATATAACATGCTAATCAAATGATTTGATTAAACTAAATTTAACTTTAAAAATAATTTATTATGAATCCACTTTATTCTAAAAATCATGCTGTCAATTCAATTGAATGAAATGATAAATTTTCTAATATAATATAAATTTAATAAATACTAATTTTTGAAAAATGAGTTTATATCCACTCACTAGTTAAGCTACAACCTATGAAGGTCGATAAGCTTTTCCAATTTTCTTGTCACCACCTGGAATATGATACCAAATAACCCATTTAACAACTAGCATACCAAATATTCTTAACATTTAACTATGAAATATTAGAACTTGATTTCTCGGAACTTGAATATAATCTTTAATCTCCTTCACAATTGGAACGAATTCTACCTTCTAGACCATTCACTGATCTTTAATTTATCATAATTACCTTCATCCCAAACATAAAAACAATTCTTTCTTCTAATCTAGTGAAACTTGAATTCTCACATACACTAATCTAATTTACATCTTATTCCATAAATTCATTCCATAAAGTTAATATTTCATCATCAAAATCATTTCCCCTAATTATTCTTATTCAAAAACTCAATTAAAAACTCTAGGTTTGCCAAAAATAGTATAACTTACCTTGATGCAAAAATCTTTCACAAAACAAAAAGATTAGCTTGAAATCATGCTCTTACCTTCAATCTGAAAATTAACCCAAACAATTCCTTAGAACCCTAGAAAATCAACCATAACTATTTCATAAAATTTTAATCTTTACCTTTTGAAGAATTAAAGATATAAAGCTTCGAGTAGTTGACACCAAATTTCTTCCTTCTTTTTCCTTTTCCTTCTGCTTTTTCTTTTTCTCTTCCTTTTCCTTGGTTTTTCTCTTCTCTTCTTTCCCAACCTCACTGCCCGATTTTTCTACTGTGTGTGAGTGCGTGTAATCATTTGAAAAATGAGATATTAGTTAAATACTTGCCACATGTAATCCATTATACCAACTTTGCAAAGAAAGCCCTCCAACTTCAAATAAAACCACATTAAATCTAAACTTCTAAAAATATATAAGTAGACCCCGAAATTTTATTTTGTCCAATTTAATCCTTCAAAATATTTTTCCTATTAAATTAAGTCCCAATTAAATAATTTATTTCATTTCAGTCTTTTTTGACTTTGACTTTGACAATTAAACATTTGATTTATGACTGGCAAAATTTGGGTTGTAACACAAACTTTCATAATTAATCCTGCAAGAATTCAATTAGATAAAAGCAAAAAGATATCCATCTAGTATTTCATTCAAATCATGAATTAATACCTCTTACAACCCTTAAATCCAACTTTTGCAACTGAAAGCTTGATTTAGCCTATTGGTATGAAAAAAATTAGCATCAGTGATAAGAGGTGCAGATTTTTAATTTTAGTTAAATCATTAAGGCTTTTAAAATGAAAACATAACCTAATAGCCACTGAACAGAATGGAGCCCAAAGATCACTAGATATTAATAACAAACTACCCATGGGAGGGGGTTGATGGAAGAGAGGGATATAAAAGGAAGATATTGGGGTGGGGGGGGGGGAGGGGGGGGAGAGAG